GAGATCAGGTGGGTGAGACGGGGAAGGTCTTTGTTAGGAAAATGCAAGTTTTTGCTGCGCTAACGTTAGAGTCCGAGCGACCAGAATTCTCTTCCACACACGTAGGCTCTTGAATAAACAACAGGGAAGTTTCGTCGATTTATGTGCTTCGTGCCTTCGGTGTCTTCTGGTTAATATGTCTGTGCTTTTCGGTCCAGTAAAGAAAAGTCGAAAGAGCGAGAGCAAATGATCAGTATATTCTTGACAATGTTTAGCAGTGTTTGCTTTAGATCTTTCCGTGTCAGTGTGAATGTACCTTAGCATTGACATTGATAAGATTAGCACAAAACATGATAAAACTAGTCGAATTTGATCAGTTTTTATGATGGTTAAGGTACTGAAGTATACTCACTGTGCAAGAGTCCAAACCAGTAGAGAAAAGTAGTGTAGAAAAAAACTATACGGAGAAAGAACTAGATAGGGAGGGATTAACTTTATTTGAGTGAATATTTACCGAATTTTCGGATTAGCACATCATATGTATCACAGGCCTTCAATCCCTATCTCTCTAATTCTTCTTTCCATATCTATCTGTCTATATATGTATATATATATATATATATATATATATATATATATATATATATATATATATATATACGCATGAATATGTATATATATACATATAAACATGTATACACATATATATATATATATATATATATATATATATATATATATATATATATATATATATATATATATATATATGGGGGGACCATGGGGAGCCACAGGTTACAGAAATGACAGCAAACTAGCTCTGAGCCTCAGACTCTATAGACGTAGAGGAAGGCGCTTCCTACGGTGGGAGAGATGGTTCCAGTGCCAGTTCAGGAGTCATGACGCTAAGGTACATCGCCTCATGATCGACACAAATATATGTATATATATATGTATATATATATATATATATATATATATATATATATATATATATACACACACATACACACACATACACACACACACACGCACACACACACACACACACACACACACACACACACCACACACACACACACACACACACACACACACACACACACAACTATATATATATATATATATATATATATATATATATATATATAATATATATATTTACAAATGCATATATATGTGTGTGTGTGCATATATATATATATATATATATATATATATATATATATATATATATATATATATATACACATATATATACATATATATATATATATATATATATATATATATATATATATATATATATATATATATATACACACAGCGCACAATCACACACAAGAGCACACAGACACACATCTATATATGCCAGTGTATATGTGTGTTTACATGTGTGTGTGCGTGAATTAATAATTTCTATCCGTGTAAGTGCAAATCATCACCCCTTCTGGATGCAAAAACACATCAAGGTTCAACAAAAATAAATGTTAATACAATACACCCATCGCGAATAGAGTTGCCGCCGACGATAAATCTGAGGAATCTGAACGCCACTCCACAGATGAAATTAATTTGGGGAATGAAAACATTTCAACGATGAATTTCACGAAAAAAGAACTCTTCTTGAATTGGCAAGAGGCATGTTGATCCTTGTTTTTGAATGAGTGGATAGATGATGAGATAAATTGATGATTGAAAAAGCAGGTGATAACTGCATTAATTACAAGGAGTAAATTAAGATCAATTAATTATTGGGTATTATTTTTCTCATAAAAGACGAAATATTATGTAAACATTGATATTTTTATTGTAACTTGCGCTGCACGTGAAATAAACGCTACCCTTTTAAACATCGCTGTATATCTATGGATAACCAAGAAGTACATCAGGATTAAGACTGAAATTACCCAGAAAAAAAAATGTCACCTATGAGAATTCTTGTAATTTGTTCGTCAGGATACATTTCTGGGCAAAAAGAGGCATGTTTACCTTCCATGTTTCCCTGTGTATTAAATGTAATGTTTTATCCGTCCATGTAAATAGTGTGTATATCATTCTCTTTTTTTTTTTTTCTTTTTTATGATTGTAGCTATGAGCAGTGAAACAGAGCCTTTCGCTTCATATCTGTGTTTCGTTAACTCACCCATGATTTACGTAAAATTTTGGTAAAACACAAAGAAAATAATATCTCACCCTTTTTCAACAAGGAGACCCTCCTCCCCATCGCTTTCTCAAGATCCTGCCTGTGCTTCTAACACGAAAAGCTCACTTTGTATGAGAACTTTTGTCTGTTCCAACAAAATTCAGTAGAAAAGAATAAATATATATTTTGCTCAATTGATGCTTCCAATTTCGATATCATGTGTTCCGTGAGTAACCTTTCATTCATATGAATCGTATTCGTGTTGGCAAATGTAGAAAAGGTGTGAATGAGAATGAATATCGTCACAATACAAGCGATGTATGCATTTTTGACGCTTGTATTGTTCATTCTCATTCATACTTTTGTCTACACTTTCATTCGTACTTGGCCTCTTATGGACTTGATATATACCTAAAAAGTCATGTAGATTATATCTAACATATGTTATATCATATATTATATCATATCATGTTTTGTATTATATCATATTACATGTCATATGTCATATTGTATTATGTATATTATGGCAAATAATATATATTGTGTTCTATATTATATATCATATTGTATCGTAGTATATCATATATCATATCATGTATAATATTATCATATTACATCTGTCATATATCTAACAAACCATGTATATTAAGGTAGATTGATAGAAAAATATCAAATAAGATTATTTTGATTTCCATGGATATTGTGTTTATCACAATTAGTACTCATAATCAGCTATATTTCCATTCTTTTTACACAGGGTATAGAAAAATAAGGATGAGAGTATTTTACATAAATCTTGTATTGTCTCAGCTTAGAACTATGTAAAACATTGTAGATATATGTTACACGAATAAAGAGAATGAAGAAATGCTGTAATTTATACACATGTTTCCATCAGTTTCTTTCAGGGACCCGAAGTAAATCCTTACCTATTAAGGGAAAGGAAAGTTGATGAAAATAAAACTTGGCTCAAACATTGATTACAAAAACTGAAATATGCACATCAGCCTTAACCTTCCGTCATTCTTGCAAAAATATAGCGTGTGAATGAAACACTGAGTAGATTTTTCTTTATATTTTTTCATTTAGAATTAATTTATTGTTTTGTTAAGAAGATTAGAAGAATTAAGAAGAATCCTTCGCAGGCCGCCACCTGATGTGCCGCGAGCCTGCTTACTGCTCATCGCTGCCGAACGAGATCCTGCGAGCGGCGACCACGGGGATCCTGTCGATGGCAGCCACGGAGGAGCGCAGGGGAGTCAGGCGCTGCGCGCGGATGGGGGCAGGGGGGGCAACGGGGGCCGATGCGTGGAACACGACCGGGACTTCGTCATAGTCGTCGTCGTCGTCGTCGTCCAGTTTGACGTAGCGGGTCCTGGGAGCCTCTGCTTGGACGAAGCGTGTGACTTGGGGAGCCGGAGCGACCTCGACCACGCGGCCGACAGAGGCGGCCTCGACGGAGACAAAGCGGGTTCGCGCCTGGGATGTGGGGGCGGAATAAGGGACAGCACTCACAGGGGCACGGCGGGCAGCAGGGGCAGGGGCAGGGGCACGGCGGGCGCAGGGGCAGGGCAGGAGCAGGAGCAGGAGCGACCGCGGCCTTCCTGGGCGCCGCGCCGACGAGGCCGAGTCCCAGCCTCTCGGCCTCCACCTCCACCTGGATCTCCTTGCCGTCGTCGTCGTAGTACCTGCGGAACAACGAGGCTTCCCTCAGCTCGGAGGAACACAAAGCCAAACACAAACAAGCCTTGAGGAATACAAGTGTGAATGTGCTCAGGAACTGCCAAGGAACGGCAGGAATCCGACTTACTTGTAGCAGAGATCAAGCTTCAACTTTGTTACCGGGTAGATCAGGGTTGTGCTGCAGCTTTCAACTGCCGAGGAGGACAAGGAGGTTGAGCTGTTACGTGCCGCTGGCCCTTGTGTGGATGCAGCTATTTATGCCTATCTCAGTATATACATACATAATATATATATATATATATATATATATATATATATATATATATATATATATATATATATATATATATATATATATGCGTGTGTGTGTTGGTGCATGTGTGTATCCATACATATACACGTTGTATATGTGTGTGTGTGTATATATGATAGATATGTGTATATATGTGTATATATATGATATATATGTATATATGTATATATATAGATATGTATATATATATGTATATATATATATGTATATATAATATATATATATATATATATATATATATATATATATATATATATATATATATATATGTATATATATATATATATATATATATATATATATATATATATATATATATATATATATATATATATGTATATATATGTATATATGTATGTATATATAAATGTGTGTGTGTGTGTGTGTGTGTATACACATGCATATATGTGTGTAACAAAAATCAAAATTTACAGAATATCATCCGCTACTCAAGCACATGAAAGGGAAATGTTACCAGCTTCATGGTGAGTTTTCAGGAAGAGAGAACCGCAGCGAGATTGCTTGCACCGGAGATGATCGGAGGCGAATGGCAAAGATGCATCTTCGCGCCCGCGTTATATACCCGCCAGAAGGTTCCGGCATGAAGGGGGGGGGGGGAGGGGGGAAGGCTAAAGCAGGGATGGTACGTGCAAAAGCAGAGAGGGGGCTTCGGGAAGACTGAAAGCCACAGAGAAGGGCAGGAAACAAATGGAATCAAGGAAGCGAAGGAGGTTCCAATAAAACAATATAAAAACGCCATATATGTGACGAAAGAAATCAGTATAGAATAAAGGAAAATATATTGGAGGGCATCTCCGTGAATTATTTTTGGAGAAGGCAGTGGGGAGGGATGAGGGGCCGAGGGAAGGCAGTCGGGTT